TTTTAAAGAGTTCCTAGATCACTGGCATGGACCTCAAAAAGTACAAGGAAAACTTTGTGGAAAATACAGAAAAATAAAAGTAAACATTAACTTGAGATATGACGACAAAATTTGCAAGATTATCTCCTCTATCAAGACTGCACTATAAACTTAATCTGCAAACAGGACAAACAGGACCAATACAGTACCCTGAAATTATCTCACAGAATAAAGTAACTTCTTTCAAGTAAGGATATTGGCGTCTTCAATCTCTATAGCACAAACAGGGAGTGAAAGAAAAGTAGATAAAGTGTTGAATATGACTACAATGGTTACAATTAGAAAGTAGGGCACCAGGAAAAATGTCAATCACTATTCTCCAAGAACTAAGAAATATGGCAGGAACTAGAAACCACATGAAACCTGAAGTACTGTATATTCCATTAACAGTAGACCCAAAATACTTTGATCAAATAACAAAAAAATGCAGATGTTTGACAAACCAATAAGTTACAAAATTATACGTCTGTCAATAATTCTTTTTTGGCTCCCAAGCAAATACTAGGTGATATATTCAGACACCTCAAACTTGACATTTTCTCCATTTCTGAAGTCATGCTGAGAAGACAAAGAACTAAAGGCTGGTGTACTGTACAGCCAATGCCTTGAGCTTAAAAAGATACTGTGGGACATATAACTGAGGTACCTGCTGCCAGTTCCAGTATGGCAGAGAACTATAAATGGAACCAATCAGGAGCAAAAACATAAGTCATCTCTCATGGTAAGAGTCTGACTAGATTAAGGGGCCAATAAACCAAGAACATGTCACTGGAGTCTTGATTTCAGACTTTCAAGAAATCATTAATAGAGAACTAGAAACAGAAAACTATGTGACAAGTTCTATTTATTACATCCACAGTTATACTCTACTCTTAAGGATTTTTCAACATCTAAATTAGATGACATCCCCCTTTATTACATGAAGAGGACCAGATTGTCAGGCATGTTTGGAATTCTTGCTCTTTAAAGAATTCATGCCTGGAGGGTGTAACATCCTTTATTTTGAGGGCACTAATGTGCACATCTTTTTGTATTGAGAATGTGATGAATTATCAAGCTCAAAAAAGTTAAACTGTTTAGAAGGTAGGTGTAAGAAGGTGATCTTGGTGAAAGGCCTGAGGACACCATGACTGGGTCTCCCAGCTTTGCTGATTTGTGAGAGCTTGATAGGTCAAACACTTAGGGGTGATGACCACAAAGAATTCTCTCACATGTAGCTTTGAGAGGTTATGATGCAGTAGCCATCAGTCTTGATGAGACAGTTACGATGAAAATTTCTATATAGATGTTACAGGTAGGAAAGTCTTTTTCCAACTTTTGTCCACAGTAATCCACTGTAATCATTGTGATATCTAACCATTCCACTGGAAGCAAACTGGGCTTGGCAAAATTTGAATTTCAGTTCTTGATACACAGCTTCATGGTTGATTCTAAAGTCTCACAGAGCTTGAGTAGCATGAACTCTTTCAGTGAGCTGACCATCATGACTTAGAGACTGTAACCAACGTGCCATTTTGTGAATATCTAACAAGCTCAAACCTAAACAAGGAAGCACTGATGAACTAAAAACAAAGGGTTTTCCTCTGGTGTTCGTAAACAAAGATCTAGTAGTAGGTTATTTCCAGATCTAAAATCTGCTAGTCCTCGGTTTACCAGTAAGATATTGCTGAGGAACAAATCTTTAGGTTTTTCTTTAATTACAGGAGGATTCCAATGCCTGAGATCCTCCTCTGGACTTATTTTGGTCCCGAAGTATGTGGTAAACCTTTGTCCAACCCTACTTAAGTGAAGGTCTCTACTGCTCACTTGGCCAGTAAGTATGAGTCTATTATATACTTCATTCCAAAAATCCAGAATTCAAATGTCAGCTGTGGTCATTCCAGATGTGCATTTAGTTTCTGAGGTGACCGCCTACCTGCAGATCCTGTGTAAATGGGGAAGAGCAAGTAAAATAGTGAGGGTCCTGGGTGGCTTTACTGCTGAACATGTAAGGTCATTAATTCTTGTATCCATGGCGTTCTGGAGAGTCCCCCTTTTTTCTATATCTATAGGGGTGATTTCGGGGTTTGTACCAATCCCCTTTGGAGTATCCTCTGTTGTGATAATGTGCTTTCTGATCATGACTATAGAAGTATCGATGCTGGTTATAGTATCTGTTGTGGTCTTTAGAGTCATTTTCTTTTACACTGTTTTCTTCTGCTACAATAGCATTCACATCCTGTCCAAAGAGGGAAGTACCATCAAAGGGCAAGTGTGAGATCTTCTCCTGGCTCTTCTTAGTGAGCGATGTAAGCCGGAGCCAGGCCTGCCTTCTGTAGTCTATTGCCATTGCCATAACTCTGACAACAGAGTCCATTATGTCCCTAGTAGTACAAAGCTGCCAAAGGCCTGCATCCATGCCATCAGATATTATACATCTTGCTTTTCCACGATCAAACTCGGGATCATGGACCAGATCCTCCATATCTTCCCAGAGTTTTCGCTGATACTGAGTCATATAGGCCATGTAGCTAGCAGCTCGGGCTGCAATAGAAGCAGCGTGGTAGAATCTACAACCCATGACCTCCATTTCTTTTGAGGTAGAATCTAGAGGAGATGTTGTGCTTCCCCTTTTGCTGTGCTCCAACGCTTCCACAATGGGGCCCTCAGCTGGAGGATTTGGTTGGAAAGGAGAGGTATCCTTGGCCACAGGATAGACCCTATGTCCCATGAAGGAAGAAGGATGGCAATCAGCAGGGTCTTTAAAAACCTCAGTGGTAGCAATTCTCAGAAGAGGATGCAATGGAGGAACCAAACGTTTCTTAGAGGTCACAAAATCAGGTTTCCCTTCACATGATTCTGCTTCAGACTGTAATGTTACTCTCTTAATGACACCTCTCTGCTCCATTCTTTTCAAAAGACCTGTGAAACTAGACTGACTGGGATCAGTTGGTTGCCCCTTGTCATCAGCTGAGGGGGATTTGCAGTCAGTTTCTTCTTCCACTGTGGACAGATTTTCTTCCTTGGAGCTTGAAATGTCCCAAGGTGCTGAGTTCTCACTTGGCCTAGAATGATGAAATCTAAAACAGCTCCTGGACTGGAGATCACGTATCACTCGGGACATCTCGGCCACTTGTGTCTGGAGATAGAGAATGGCATCCTGTCCATGCTGTGAAGCTGAAGACTCTACAGGTAAATCCTCCTTGACCTCTGAAGAGGCCAAAGATTCTTGGGGGACCAGGAGTGGAGATAAAGGCAGAGTCTGACAATTTTGAGATGATTTAAGTGCCTCTGTCTCAGAAATCTTAATATCTGAATTATTCTGATCATTTTTCTGGCTCTCCAATGGCTTCTCAACAGAAGAACATTGAGAAACTATCCTTTGTGGACTGCTGGTGCAACTCCCAAAGGAGGAGCTGCCGTCTCCACTGGGAAGAGGTACACTGTAGCTAGAGCTCATTTCTGGACGATGATTCTCAGAGGATGGCACCTTAGACTCAGGCATTCTCTGGGTTATCCACACGAGTAAGAAAACCAAGGAAGAAAAAAAATATGCTTTTAATATGTTAACTTTCAAGTGCAGAGATGCATGTCCAGTAACTAGAACTCAATTTTTAAAAATTATTATAATTTACAATGAAAGATGCAATCCACTACAGGTCAGGAGGGGATCACAGAAGTCAAATCTACAACTTTTACTACCCCAAATATCCAATACCAACTACTGGCATTAATCTGGTACTCTGGAAAAAAAAGAGTAAAAACACGCCCAGTTCAACTAGCCTGCTGCTCAGTCCCATGCTAGGATAAGAAGAGGTGGTAAGAGTATTGGTGTTAACAATTTTTGTAAAATTCTCATTCAATATATGTAAGTCACAAGTAGAAGCTAATAATGGTAGAGAGAACTCGGGAAAAGTTCTAGTGACAAGAAAAAAAAAATTCTATAAATTCCCCATTGCAAAGTCACTTTTAAGCCCCTTTAAACACTTTCTCATTCACTCTCCATGTAGAACAAAACTTTCCAGTTGCTTAGTCCTACTTGATGGTTAGTAGTTTCCAGGGAGTTGACGTATATGTCACCTCATTTCTTCCTCACAACAATGCTGTAAGGTTAGGTATTATTATTATTCAATAAAGAAACTAAGGTTAAAAAGCTACTTAATTTATCCAAAGTCACAGAATTACTGAGGAGGACAGCTAAGACTAAAACCTAGGTATTCTGAATCCAAGTCCAAGGCTCAATCCCCTATATCAGAGAGCAAGAAGTTTTCTGGCCTCCTTGAACAGCCAGTTCTCAAATCCATAAAGAAAATAGCCCAATAATGGAAATTTAGATTAAGACAAATGAAAAATAAGACTGCAACAAAGGGCTCAACTAGTTGGTCCCAAAGTAAGGGAAGTAGTAGTTTAATGGCAAAACCCATGACCAACAGTAAACCAAAAATAAGAGGTCAGAGACAAAACTCCATATATGTGGGGAATAGAGGAGGTCAAAAGGAATGACAAAGAAGTAATGATCACCTATAACCCTTCCACACATTGCATTTCCTAAAGGCCCTTCACATATCCTTTCTTCCAAGATAAAACAAATTTTCGGTGGTCACATGGATCTGAAAGAAAAGGTTTCAATTCTATAGGGCACCTGAGAAGAGAGAGGAAAGGAGAGTGGCAGAAGGGTCCCAAAGCTTGCAGCTTTTATGCAATTTCTTTTTTATCAGTTCATCTCCAAGGCTTAGATTTCCTGTGTCAAACTGTCTTTTCATATCCTCACTGACTGTAAAGGAACAAACTTGAAAGAGGAAATGTTCTGGGCAAAAGATTCCTTGGATACCTATTATGGCCCATTCTAAACAGAAATGGGCCATTCACTATAGCACAGAGCTCCTAAACACAGTCACAGTCACATCACTGATGTGATACCTCTCTTTAGAGAATACCTCTTTGATGACAAAAGAAATGCAGATCTAATACTATGTACTTACATCACTCTGAGAAGTGCTAGGCTCTTCTTCATCACTGCTGACCAGATCAATGTATTCCAGAACAGGTCTCAATGGTCCTTCCTATGAAAGAAATGAGCGCATTACAGGTTAGATAGTTATTCAGACTAAACTAGCAGTTACAACAATGCTTTATGTTGCTGTTGGGACTGGTAAGGCTTTCTGAGGAAACCTTATGGGTGGCAGAAAATTATCAGAAAAAAACAGAGAAAAATATTCAGATTACATGGTAAGAAAGGATGACAAAACCTAACCCCTGACAGAGTGTTAGGACCATGTCAATTCACTGGGAAAACGATAACTACAATTAATACAGGAACAGCACTACAAGGACACATGTACGTATGATTCAACGCTTCTCAGATGGAATGGGTACCCCAATAGCCTGTTAGATACCCAAGCTCAAAAGCATGGAATTCTCTAATAGCTCAGCTTTACCTCCCACTCCTAAAAAGTCGAACATCAAACCTAATTCTGCTTTCTTTCCATCCATACTGACTCCATCATAAACAATGATTTGAACGTTAATATTTAAAGCTGAAATTTTATTCTATAGGCAAGAGAATCAGTAAATACTAAGAGAGGAATAACATTATGAGACCAGTGCTTTAAGATCATTAATCACACTATAAGGTATGGAGAACAGGGAAGGTAGGATAATCAATCAGCCTAAGCACATAATAATACAGAACTAAAATAGTGGTGACAGCAAGGAGATAGTCTGTGGCACATATACAAGAAAATACACATGTATAATGCAAAACTAAATGATTAGCTATAAAAAACAATGACAAGTAGTCAAAGTGGCCCCTACATTTTCAAGCTTCAGTGACTAAAAGGATACCAATGCTATTCACATAAATTGGAATACAGAAAACAGGAAGCTGACACTCTTGAATATAGTACGTTGATATGCCAGTGGTACACAGAAATATCTGGCAGGCAGCTGGAAATGCAAGTTTTGTAATCTGGATGTATGAATGTAACTGTAAACAGAGATTTGGGAGATGCTCCCATAAAAGACTATTAATTCTAGAACTAAACTGTAACTATGATATTGCCAAGGAAGAAAATGAAGAGAAATAAGGAACTGAGGAAGGCTTCTGAAGGAATGCTGGAATTTTAGGATCCAGGAACAAGAGCTAAATAGCTAGTAAGAGATCAGAAAAGAAATTAGGAATGCACAAATTCAAAGAAGCTAAAGATAGAGAAAACCTCAATGAAAAGTTGTCAATGCTAAATGTAGCCAAAAACATTTAAGCACCAAAAAAATAAAAACAGAAAAACCAAACACTGAATTTGATAACAAGGAGATTTTAAAATGCCTCTGAGAGAGCAACTTTCAAGCAAGTAGTGAGCACAGAAGCCAGATTCTAAAAAAACTGAGTAGAAAATGAAGCAGTAAAGGCCATGAGTAAAAACTATTCTTTTAAGAAACCTGGCATGTTGGGAACAATCTGGCATGTTGAGAATGAGAAACGAATACAGGAGAATATGGCTGAAGGAAATATTTCTTAGGATGAGGAAAGCTGACTGTTGGCAAGCCAGAGTGATCCATTCAGTGAAAAAACTAACAGAAAAAAACTCTAGCGTTAGGAGACAGTAAGATCTAGTTAAAGATGATCTTCCTGAGAAGAGGCATCCAGTCTCGAAGCAGATTGTTTCTCCCCCAGGCTGCAACTTCTTTCCAAGCAAGAATTGCTATCCTTACTATAGTAATCTAGTCACTAAGGCAAAACAAGAGAGCAGAACTTCCAGGCAGGGATCATGTAATAAAGTGATTACATTTTTTGCCTGGGCTATAGAAACAGAAGTTTAAAAAACAGAAACAGAGGAACAGATATTCTCCAATATATGGTCAACAGAGATGAATCACCTATTTTAAGACTAAAACCAATCACTGGTATTAAGACTGTCAGTCCAAGAAGTAGAGGAAATATAAACTCAATAGCTTCTCCTGTTCATAATCACCTTAGTTTGTTCTCTTCAAGAAATGTGCATCAACTTTTGAGTTTTAATTAACATACCAATAGGAAGAGCACACCAAAAAAGTCCCCAGGTTACCAGAAATACTAAGAGGTAGGGCGGAGCTTCCACGAATAGATGGCAGGTAAAAAAAGAAAAGAAGGGACCTGAAAGAAGGTAAGGTCACTAAGCTAAAAGTAGAATGTGCAGGAAAAAAAGAGTAAGGAAAATGGTCACAAATAGGATTAAAAGTAGCTGCAGATGTAGTAGAAAGGGAATAAATTCAGATGAGAGATGACCAGCTTTACTATGGGGGTAAACTGTCAGAGTGATATGCAGCCATTTTTGAACTGCTAAAAAATGACAATTTCGATATGATTCACACTAATTAAAAAAGGAAGATAAAAATAATCAGGATAAGAAATCCAAAAATGAGAAAAAGCAGGAGTCATATAATACTTCACTCAACAAAAGTGGTTAAGAGTGGGAGAAGGGTAAGACAACATGTGTTTGAAACTGCCAAGACCAAGAGGGTGGGTGGAAAAAGGAAAAGAGCAGTATCCCAAAGAAAAAGATTACTTATAAACAAACACTCTACACCTAATTTTCAGTTGATATGGAAAAACTTCCACCATAATGAATTTGAAGAATCAAATCATTTCAGTACTGTTTTACTACAGATCAGTAACATTTGCCATTGAGCCCTGTACAGGCACTGTGTCACAGCTTTTCATGTACATTATTTCACTGAATCCCCTGTTAATTTACAAGTTGAGATACTGAATTATTACTATTACCCCTTTTAACAAATAAGAAAACTAAATGAGTTCTAGCAGGTATACCTGCTTCTGTAAATACATGGTCACTCTAATTGTGAGACAAAGTATGCACACACTTTTTAAATCAATGCCTCATTACCTAAGTTTCTGAGGCAAAATACTTTCTCTTCCTTTAGAACTTCCTCCTATTGTCCCCAACTCTTAAATCCTCATAACACTGGACAAGAAATAAGTGATTAATTCCCCAAAATAATTTATGTTTATAATGACTGCTTTTATCCTTAAAAGATAAAAGCATGTGGTCTTCCAAATGCAAGGTATTTTATTTGAATTCACTCCATCCATCAACTAGTAAACCATCATTCTCATCCCCTCTGTACAAGTAACAAAACCAAAGAATTCTACTCCCAAAGTCATAGGATTTAGGGCCAGGAGCAGAAGCACAACCAGTTTAGGAACATAGTTGGTTTATTATCCAAAAAAAAATAAATTAATGAAATAGTTTTTGTTCCTATTATTAGAAAACTCTCATACAAAGTCAAAATACCAACTACCTACTGTCATGTCAATAAACTAAAATACAGTCTACAAAAGTAGTTTAGACTGCTAAAACAAAGAATATAGATTTGAGCAACAGATGTAAAAATCTAACCTAAACCGTAAATAATATTTTTATTCATACAGAGAAGTTGAGGACATAGTTTACTTCTCCAGTTCTGCCCAGTTCAAAAATTTCAAAAGGCTCCCAACTGCCACTTTAAGTTCAGATTTAAGCTACGATTCAAGATCTGAACCATCTTTCCTCTCCCACTCCAAAAAAATCTTACCCTCCAGAACTACACATTAATCCTCTCTGCTTTCTCATTTTGATGCCTTTCCTTACTGCATCTCAAAATGCCCTCTTAAACAAATACAAAATGCAACCTATACCAAAGTCATAAACTAAAAGCCTTGACTTTTTCTGGTAGCACCACGTACTTTTTATTGAAGAATGTTCTACTTCCTACTAGAACTATTTACATAGTTCTCATCATCTCATCTCATACAATAAAAGACTAACTATGGATAAGGATGTATTTTTTATTATCTTTGTAGCCCTCAGGTACCTAACTTATGACTTTGCATACTACGAACTCCCAACATTTCTATTTATTGAGCTATTTACAGCTCCAAGACACCCAACCAAAAGCTATCCTCATTTTTTGCCCATGACCCCTTTCTACTGCAGCTAAAGTATTATCACTTGACCTGTATGCTCTTGAAGTTATTCGTGAAATTACCCTTTGATTTCCTTCATTATTTCTACATGTTCAATGATTCCACATACCATCAATCTTGACTGAAACCTAAATCTCATGTACTGAAATTATGATAGGCTGCCACAGCAATTTCTGTATCTTTTTATCTAAGGTAGCTCTGTGAAAAATAGTTATCATCTCTTACCTACATTTAGTAATGTCCTGGGAGTACATTACTAAACTAGCTGCAGTTTCAAAGACAGAAAGATGGTGGCTCAATAAGGGATCATACAGGTATCCCTCACTTTTTTGAAAGTTCCTATTACCCACTTCATGTTTATGAAAGACCTACTTAGTACCTATTTTTGCTAAACAAAAGAAATCCAAAGAGTATTTTCATTTTTATGAAAAAAGGCAAAAGGCAAAAATGGCATTCAGGGTGTTCTGCAGCCAGCTGTTAAGATGGCTCACGACGGGGGCGGCAAGATCCGGTCCCGCCAAGCTCCTTCCAAGGAACCACACTCAGCATCTCAGCATCAAGCCGCCAGAGCTCTGAACTGTGTCCGTGAGCATCTGTGCTTTATCTCGCCTGATTTTGTACATCCGTTAGCAAGATGTGCCCTACAGTACCAGAATGCCTGAGAGGTTAGTTTTTGGGTGTGGGAATACTCAGAAGAAATTTTTTCCATGTAAATTAATGTTAACTGCTTCTTCACTTTAATGTCTTTTTGGCTTATTCAAGGTTTTGTGAAAACACTAATTTTGGATAGCGGGGGGAGTCTGTCTTCTCAACAGAAAATGAGAGCAAAGGACCGAAATAAAGTTTTTTGTTTGGTAACATTCTGTTTCTTGTTTTGAGCACTGTTCACGCAGGTATACTGGCTTTGCAAAAATCAACAATAAACCTACGAATCGTGCAGTTCTCTGTACTTAGATTCAATAAAATTTAAATGAAAGGGCTTATTTTTACACCTCCACAACTGTATTACTACTTTCCTTCAGCATACTATGTTCAGTTTCAGACTCTGTACTTTACAAACCACAGAACGATTGCTGTGCCACAATGTGGACTGTAGAGAAAATTAGCAGACTAAGAATTCCAAAACAGAGAAATCAAGAAGTGACATTACAATGAAGACACCTAAAAGCAGGAAACCATTATCTTCACTGAATAAGCATTACCTGAGGCAGTCAAGTCTAAGATTAGGTGACCTAGGGAAGTACTAGATTACTTCTGAATATATTTTAAAATAGAATTACGGTATCATTAAGTGTCATTTAAGTGTTTTAACCAAAAAAGGCAGAAGGGCATTAGGAAAAATAAAAAGAAATCCTGCCATTTCCAACAACATGGATGGATCTACAGGGTATTATGCTAAGTGAAATAGGCCAGGCAGAGAAAGACAAGTACCATATGATTTCACTTAGTTTGTGGAATATGAAAACAAAGCAAAAAAGAATCAAAACAGCAGTCCACTCATAGACACTAAGAAGGTACTGGTGGTTATCATGGGAGAGGGCTTGGGGTGAGTAGATGAGAAGGGTGAAGGGGATAAAGGGGCAAAAAAATCAATTTTAAGTTGGTCACAGGGATGGTAATATTGCATGGAATTGAGTTAAGGATTCTATAACATTTTTGTATGTTGACGGACAGTAACCCCATTAGTGGGGGTGAGGATTTAATAATATGGGTAACTGCTGAACCACTGTGTTGTACATTTGAAACCAATATAAGATTGTATATCAATGATACTAAAATATAATTTTTTTAAATTACTAACGATCATATAAAATGAAAAAAAGGCAGAAGGAATGTTTTTAATAGGTTTCTTCTAGTATTGCAATTGCACTAAATACATATAATTTGATTCTATTTGGAACTATCAAACCTGTGAACCTACATTTGCAAACGGATAAATACAAAATGTGGTACCAAGAGGGATACACAATACATTGATTGTATACCTTTTATTTTTGATGCAAAGATATAACAGATTCTCTACATTTAAAATATACATTAAAAGGGCATTTTAAAATTCACCACATAAGCTTCCATGAATTAGACACAAGCTATACTACAGTTCATTACAGAATACCAAAAAACATCTTTCTAATCTTATTTTTGTAGATTCCACCTGTGATTCCGAAAGTAAGGACCACAGTTGTTAAAGTGTGTCATTCTTTCATTTGCACAAAATATCAAGATAAATAGTCTCTGTTCATAAATACACCAATACTCAGAAAGAACCTGAAAATGTTTGTCCTTCAGAGATACGGTATCCTGTTACCAAACACATTTCAGTCCACAGTGAGGGAAGAGGGAGGATACAATAATTCTATTTCCCCAACCCAAAATCCCTTAAATTTAAAATGAAAGGACAGAGTACCATATGCACTAGCAATGGCGAAAAAAGCCAAGAAAATGATCCTGGGAAAGACTCCTAAACAAAATACAACAATGGATCACCACAATAAGAATTACTGTTAAGGTACATATAGGGTATTTTTTAATAACCAGTTTCACAAAGTTGCCCCCAAAACCAACAACCACGAATACATTATCAGATAAACTATTATAGAAAAATTATACACCTTTAATAGCAAACCTTCAGTAATCACTGTTTGGGGTAGAAGTGTTCTTAGCTAGCTGAGATACCACTTTAAACAGAGCCTTCATAAAACTTGAACAATTTTGGGTGAAAAATCAACCCAAAATATGTCATGCTCCTTGCATTTGTACCAAAATGCATTTGTGCTCTGAAATTCTGACTCAGCAGGTCTGGAGTGGGGTCCAGCAATACAGTTACTAAGGCTTGAAGACTGACTACTGTAACAAAAGAAATAAAACTTAGAAAAATATGGAGGCTGGTGATGTAAGGATCTTCATTATGAATATCAACTGTTGAACTACGATGTAATATGATGTCCTCAGAGGTCAGCCTTCAGGCTATCTGGCAGTGAAGCTACAGAATGCTCACACTTGGGAGTTCTTGCAACCCTTCTTGGCTTCTACCTCCTTCCTCATCATTGGACCTCGCTTCTCCCTAACCTGTGTTAGGAAGATACTCAGGCCCACTTCAAAACAGTCTTAAGAAACCAGAACTCTTTTAAAAAAAAAAAAAAAAAGGAAGAAAAAGAAACGAGAACTCGGCGTGTAGATTAAATATAAAACGGCTCTAAACCAAGGCACGTCTTTGTGATGGCTCCTGTGCTTGCTCAGAGACCTCTTCTGGTAAACTTCCTGATCCCGGGCCATGCTCCACAGTGTCAAGCACCTTCCGGACATTGTCACATGTTCGCGGAGTATCAATGAACAGGCGAGGTATAATCCCCTAATGGCTTACCGCGCACTGTCTCTGACTCTGGAAAAACCCGAATACGTTGCTACTTACACTAACAAACTGAATGTCATCTTCGTTTTCATCCGTTGTTGACTCAGACGGCTCAGGCCCGGCTGGGGGGGCAGATTCTATTATCTATAAAAAATAAGCCAAAACACGCTTACCTATTCAGCCATATGCTTGCAGGGAAAGACTTTTCCAAAAGGAGAGACAAAGAAAGAACTTTCTAAAACGAAAAGCTCTTGAGGAAACCCGACTGAGCCCAACCCCACGCAAGAACGCCCGGCTAAGAACAGCACGAAGCAGTCAGTCGGCTCGTGCCCCGGCGTACACGGAGCTGCCGACCCCCGCGGATTCCCCTGCCCCCGCCGGCGGCGGGGATGCAAGCTCACCACAGAGGAGCAATCCCATCTCAAAATGTCGCTCCCACTGGCAGAGCAGCGGCACAAGGAACTCCCGAGCCGGTGCAGGGGGTCGGGGGAGGCCGGGCGGCCATTGTTGCTGCGGGTTCCCCGCTCAGAAAGGCACCAGGCTCTGAAGCTGGGCTCGGCCCGAGGCGCGGAGGGAGCCATCGCCCCCCGGCCGCGGCCGTGCAGCAGGCCTCCCCACCCCCGACAAAACACACCCTCCGGCGCCGTGCGGCCGAGAACGCCACGGCCCAACTCTCGCCCACTCACCTCCGGCCCTGGGTCTCCCATTTCTCCGACGGCCAGATAGCACCGCCGCTCTCCCTGCCCCCCGCCGCCGCTTCTGCTGCCGTTGCTGCCGACGCTGCCGACGCTGCCCCCGCCGCAGCCGCCGCCGCCGCCGCCACCGCGACTCCCTTCCCGCCCAGCCCGGCGTCGCTCCACTGTGACCCGCCCCTGCGTGTGCGCCGACGCCGCGACGCCGCCGGCGGAAAGAGGGGAATAACCGCTTCCGAAGGAAGAGCGTGCCGCTCGGGCCCGCTATCCCCGGAGCCGCTTTCGCAACGTCCCGGCCTGCCTTCCTCGCGCAGAGCAGGATGCTGGGAATGGTAGTTCTAATTGCACCCGAACGGCCCCTCACACCGCTGGAAAAGACCGGAAAAAGACCCCGTGCTACAACGCATGCGTTGCGCCAGGCTGACATGTAGTTGCAGCTGCCCCGAACAGCGGGTGGTCCGAGTGTTCTTAGTGGGGGGCGGAGCTCATTGATTTCTGTTTTAGCCCTCAAGGCGGGTGGTGGAGACTAAGAGTTTTCTTTTTTGGCTGACGTCGGGAATACGGAGGTTTAGCTGAATTCTGAAATGAGGAAACAAATCTGAGGTGGCCCTACCTTACTCCCTTTTCCCAGGCTTCAGTGTCCCAGCCACAACTTGTGTAAATACATAGGAGACAGAAAACTGAGGACCAGCGCTCCAGTCTCCACATTGGACTAGAGAGACTGGTGAAGCTGAGAGCCCAGGGCCCAACAGGACGAGGAGTCGAGGCTTGCTTAACTTTTATTACTAAGCTCTAGACCCAGTGATGCCAAACTGTGCTTTTCAAAGATGGTCTGAGGTATTACATTACTAATAGAATAGTTGCCTCTGTTACCTGTTCACCCTAACAGTTAACTCATGTTCAATTGTTTTAATTTTTCCTCAGTGTCTTATAAAATTCCTGACTTTTTTTATAGCCAAAGAATTGTCAATAAAGGTTTTGAAAAGAATTTAAGTTGGAAAATCCTTTAAAATCTTTTATTCCTGACTATATGCAAACCTACCATGTGATTACCTATGCCTGTAGTAACTAATCTTGTCCTTGTATTTACTGCACTTCCACTGTGTTTTATGACTTCAATTCTACCTAGTAAATTTGAGAATTGTAGAGGCAAATTGAGGGACCTGCCTGTTGTGTTCCTCAAAAGCTGTATGGAAATATTTTTTGAAGTTTTTAATGTCCAGGCAAAACTTACACTTAAGATTTTCCAAATATACTGGCGAGAGTTCAGGGGAACATTTACTGTAACGGCTGTAGGTAGCAATTAGTGGGCAAAACTGTTATGTGCCACAGTAATGTGGCTCAAGTCCAAAAATGCCTTTACCCTTCAGTTAAGTTGTTGTCATTGCAAGGATTTTTCCTGAGGACCTAATTTTATCTTTATTCAAAATACTATTTATCACAGATTTGTTTTATTATCTTTATTCAAAATACTATTTATCACAGATTTGTTTTAATAACAAAAATTCGGGAATAAAGGCCTAATGATTGGAGAATAAGATGGTTAAACTTCGGCATGTACTCTGCCAACTTAACACTATACAGCTGAATTGAAATGTTAAGCTAAAATTTTTAAAAGCATATGCAAACCATTCCTGAAATAGGAAACTTAAATATTAATAGTAATTTTTACTGGGTAGTTGGACTATGTGTTTTTAAGAAAATCCTTTGAAACTAACAGAAGATTTCTTAGAGACATACCTATATTTCTCTAGGGGCAGATTAGTGTAACAAAGGAGAACAAACAATCGGCAAAGTTTGGGAGTCTCTCAATCTTAGAAAATTAAGCAATTGGGCTGCTTTTAAAGTCAGTCTGTACAGTAGTCCGGTTAGAATTGGAAGAAGCAGTTGTTTGCTAATTTGTTCAGGATTTAAAATAGAGGATTTTAACTACGGGGAACTTTTTGCATGTGTCAGAGGAAATGTTTTTTGTTTTACCTGGGCTGTGCATCCATAATTTTGCTTTATGAGTTAAGATCATGATGGGTTTGATAATCCCTTATTTAGTTCTCTCAGACTTTGTCCTAAGCAACATTATAATAAATGAACAGATCTGTATCAGTGACATTATGTTGATGTTATTCCTTCAACTCATTATGTATAACAAAGAAATACATGCTTCAACTTTAGTTTGATTTTCATCAGTTTTCTATTAACTTTCTTGCTATTTTTCTTGAATGGTTATTTCCAGACCCATCTGTCTGGTTATTTACTGACCCATCTTAAGATTCTGGAAACCTGGTTCTTGATAACTGAATGCCACCAAGAGACAAAGACATCAATTAGGCTCAAACCAGCATTGAGAATCATTACCCAATATTCATAAATCTCAAAAAAGGGAAAATATGACTAGCATGAGCCTGTAACTTATTTAATGAGGATTCAGCTTGGCCAAAAGAGTTCATGTATACACAGCACTGAATCCTATTATGCTTTAGTAAAAGCACAAATACTCCCAATGCAACTCTACTACTAAGAACCATATTTAGTTTGGATTAAATGCTATGATTTTAAGACCTGGCAACTGGAATGGTCTTTAACAATTTTTGATAAAGTAAGAAATGAATTTAAAGGTGTTTATTCAAAAATGGAATATTTTTCAGGAAAGAAGATGGTTCTTAGGATAATATGGAACCAACTGACATGGTCTTTTCTGTGAGTTATAGGAGCAGAACAAGAAGCATTTGGTTCTAAAATGTCCAGTTTTCAACAAAAAATTAAAAGGCAAGCAAAATGTTAAAGTGTAACCCATACACTGGTGGGGGGTAGGGGGAAGCAGGCAACAGAAACTGCCTGTGAGAAACAGATTTGTAAACAACTACTTCAAATTAGCCATTAATCACATATTCACATTACTACAGGAAAACATGATTAAGAAGTAAAAGCATGATGACAATGTCGTATCAAATAGAGAATATCAATAAAGTGATAGGAATTATAGGAAAAGAATAAATGAATTGGAAAATACAGTAATTAGAAAATGTTTTAATTTACTAAATTGGATGTCATCAATATTTAAAACTTCTGTGCTTCAGAAGAAACCATAATCAGTGAAAAGGCTACCCAAGAAATGGGAGAAAATATTTGCAAGTTATATCTGTGATGAGAGAATTATAAACAGAACATAAAATATGGAAATGCAAATAAAGATATACAATGACCAATAAGTACATGAAATATGCTCGATGTTATTAGTCATCAAGTAAGTTCAAATCCAAACTACAATGAAATACCACTTCACATGAACAAGGATAGCTAATATCAAAAACTCAGATATATAACAAGAGTTACCAAGGATGTGGAGAAATAGTAACCCTTATACACTATTCATTAGTCTTCAGGGCCAACTTGAATGACAAACTCATCAGACCTATGCCTGCCTCTCCTCAAAGACTTTCCTTCATAGATAAAACATAGAAGACATCAAAATCAAAGATAAAAAACAATTGATGACTCTATTACATCTTACTATGCTGATAGTGACAGCAATAGAGGCAGTGAGGACTTGACAATATGGATGAATGTTGAAACCACTGTGCTGTTTATATGAAACCATCATAAGATTGTGTATCAATGATACTTCAAATTTTAAAAAATCAAAGGGAAAAAGGAACAGAAAACAACACTACAAGCCAAATTTAACCAAAAGACAAAAGAGTACAACCTGATCAGAATCCATCATTTTATTCTTAATCCTAGGAATAGGAAAATAAACTATGTTGAAGGGCACCATGGAAGTTTAAAAGTTACCTTATCGTTATTGGCAAGGTGGACTTGAGCAGTCTCAGATAATGTGCATGTGTAGTTTCCATGTTGAGCATCCTGGTCCATTGTAACAGATCTCAACAGAATCTCTGTGGGAACTCTACAGAGATTGCCAAAGCCCACCAATGAAAGATCAACAGTCACATGTCTAAGTCACAATAAGCCATCTATATTTAGCTTGCTATATCAAGTTTTCCCCATGGAGAAAGTTCAGGAGAATCTTAATCTAGGAAAGTTAGGAAGGGCTTTTGAATGGGGTATTAGTACTTGTGTTAAGTGGTTCTAATAGAAGTCCTGTGATGTGGGTAACTGATTGGAATACAGTTAGAGAAAAGAGGCTGTTTACTGATTGGTTCAGGCTATAAGTAAAAATTTCATAACCAGAGGGAGGTAATTCTTGTGGTTTACTTGGGCTTTGGGTCTCTTGCTGTAGCTTGAGCTAAGTTCTTTAAGGTGATATGTGGCCTTGGGTCTGTTACTGTAGTTAATGAATTAAGATCTTGAAGGGGAAATCAGCTTATTTCTCAAGCCCCTAATTAATCTTTTCCCTCATTTTGAGTTTTCATACACAGGCACACCTCATTTATCTAGAGGTAATGATTCTGGTAGACAGTAATATCTGAAATACAATAGTATATTGAAACCTTTGTTTGGATTAATTTCTGTATTTGTAAAATTAAGACATGGGGTCCTTTATACTCTTAATATCCTATGAGTTTAAATAAGTTAAAAAGTAAAGGATATGAACAGACTGCTCACAAGTAATAAAAATGCTTCTTAGACATGTAAGAAAATGCATATACTTGTCCATAGAAAAAGAAATGGGAACTTAACTATAAAGAGGTACTATCTTTCACCTATACATATTATAAAAATCTAAAAATTTAAAATATGATATATAAGCAAAGATGTGGGGAAAAGGCATGTTAAGGATTGCTAGTAGAAATATAAATTTGTACATAAATAAAATGCAACTTGCTAATACCTATCATAATTTATAACACTTTTCTAGGAATTTATACTTCTGATGTACTTAAAATATTTGAAATGGCACCTGTACAGGGATATTCCTAGCAACATTGTTTGTAACAGTAAAAAATTGGAAACAACTAAAAATGTCCATCAAGGGAATTTCAAATAAAATAGGATATATTCACAGTAGAAAAAACATTTGCAACCACACAAAATTAGTTATCAGAAGTTTGGACAATAGCTATGTTTGGGAAGTAGTGACTGAACAGTGACTGCAAGGAGCACAAAGGGATCTCCTAGGGTGCTGGTAATGTTACTGCTTTGATCTGAGTTCTGGTTACACAGGTATGTTCATTTTGTGGAAAATCACCACTCTGTACACTTACAATTCATGCATTGCTTTATATATATGCCATCCTTCAAGAAAACAAATAAATTAGCTTTATGTAGACTTATATGCAATGATCTTTAAGAAATTAATTTCAAATCCTACCATTTATGAAAAATATATGTACATGGTTATAT